CACAGACTAATCCTCTTACACTCAGCCTGAGCTGTAGGGCTTGGCTGGTCATGACTGTTGCTGGCAGCCTCAGCTACCTGCTGCTGTCAGAAGCTCATCATGCCACATGTTTCTGTGTGTGTGTGCGCGTGTGTGTGTCTGAGGCATGAGACGGTAAGGGAACATGATTGTGTGTGTAGCGTCTGGACCAATCAGACACACCATTTTTCATTTGATTTAACAAATCAATTATTCATTAGATTAACAAGTCGTCACAGACCCCTCACCCAATAGACTGGGCGCCAGGATGTCTGCGAATGACTTATAATTAATTATAACTAGTTATGATTAATTATTCATATTTCCCCATGAGCTGATTTGCAACATGTGCAATGTCCAATAATACGGCACATGTAAAATTAATCAAGCATGACTAATTCTTTCACATCCATCATTCGGGATTGGATGCATGACCTAGGTTTGTGTGTGTGTATGTATATGCAAAGGTGTTTGAATGTATTTCTCTGTTTGTTCAAATAGATGGACTTCTTCATAGAGCCTCCAGAAACCACGGCAACAGCATTCCCCTCATGCTAGACTGTGTTGTGATGTCACAAAGGGCTGTACACAGTTGCCTTGGCAATGACTGCATATTTCTGATATGAAGCCCTAGTGGTTTTTTCGTGCATCTTACTGGCTCCAAGAGAATTTGCATACAGAAATAACCACTGTTTGTTGTATCCAGAACATTGTAATGCAGCACAAAGCCGGATTTCTTGAGTTGCTTCTCTTTGAGGTTGGATTATGGTTTTATTCCAAATTGGAATAGACATATAAAGCACAATATGGCCTCTACAATATAAATTAGAGTAAAATACATTGAAACAAATTTATAACTGTTCCTGCACACTTTTAAAGCCCACTGGGAACAATTGTTTACTTTTGATCAATTCTGCAAAATCACACAACAGAACTCCTTTGGGGCAAGCTATTATGAGAGTTTAAAAGCAATGTCAGTTCATATTTTTGATAAAGTATAAATCACTTTTTGTCAAGTCATTAATTCTGTACTATATAGATTTAGTTATTTTTTTGATTAAAATACAGTAAAAACAGTAATATTATGAAATATTATTACATCGTTGTGCTTAATTTTTCATGTCAAAAATTTGACACTTTTATTCAGGATTCTTTGAAAAAAGTGTAAAAGAACAGCATTTATTTGAAATAGAAATCTTTTGTATCATTATAATATCTTTACTTTTTTTTTTTTTTTTAAATACTCCAGACTTTTGATTTGTAGTGTGTGTGTGTGTGTGTGTGTGTGTGTGTGTATGTGTGTATTCATGTTATCAGTCGACATTAGACCACAATGTTGCACAGAGAAGTGACTTTATCACACTAGTATTTTGAAACTGAGTATATTGTGTTTATACATTGCAGTGGTTTGCCCCAGTGAAGTGTCATTGTAAGTGCATTGTTGAAAATGAGTAAACATTATTGTAAAGTGTTTTTACAAACTGAATGACATATTGAAATTATTTTCTGTTGCAATCAACAGAGTTCAAATGGGTAGTTCACCCAACAATGAAATTTGTCAAAAATATATCATCATTTACTCAGCCTCATGTCTTTCCAAACCTGTATGGCTTTACTTACTTCTGTGGATCACAAAAGTAAATATTCTGAAAAATATCCTGGTGTTTTTAAATCTGTACAGTAAAAGTCTTACAGGTTTGAAATGACATGAGGGTGATTAAACAATGAAGGATTTTCATTTTTGAGTGAACTATCCCTAACTTGTATGTAACCTAGAAAACCCAAACTTCGCACATTAACTACAGAAATTCTGGCTCACAAAAATATACCACGTCTATCCTTTGACAGCATTTGCGTTGGTGTTTCACTATAGTGTGAATTAAGTCTTTGTAATGTCATGAAGCATGACTGATGGTGCTGTCACACATGTAAAGGAGCGAACAGCAGAAGTCACAGATGTCTTTGTTCTGCTAACGCTAATGCTAATCATGGCTAATGCTGGGGAAAGATTCATAGAACTCCAGAATTCCAGGGATTTAGTTCCACACAAATGAGCTTGCTACAGATCTGCGATTTCTAGAGAAGTGTGTCCCAAGAGACAAAATTAAAATATGACACTGAAAAAAAAAAAAAAAAAGAGTGTCTTTTTAGTAAAGGTAAATACTGAAATTGTCCACACAAAAAATTCCAAACCCTTTTTTTTTAATTCTTTTTGCATCTGCTTTACACAGTTTGTGACACTTAGGTCTGCGAAGCAATACCACAATGATAAAAATAAAAGCAAACTTGAAGTTAATAAATAGAACTCCTCTGTATAATGTATTCACACAGCACACATCTTTTTTTGATCTTTAATTGACAGTCTACAAGGTATATTTGTACTGTAACTTGCTAGCAGACTTCCAGACTATGTAAAGGCATGTTTGTGTAATACCATGTGTCTTTGTTCTTATGTTTGTGCAGCAGCACTTGAATAAACACTAATGTCCTAAAACAATCTATTTTCTCTTCATGTTCCAGTCCTCTGTGTGTGTGTGAGTGTGTGTGTGTGTGTGTGTGTGTACGCTCACCTGTTCATGAGTGACAGGTATGAGTCTCTGTTTGGACAGTTCCCGTAAGGTGCTGACATCTGTTCTCATATCCAACTTACAGCCAACCAGCACCAACTTTGCACTAGGACAATACTCTTGAGCCTCCACCTGCCACTGAAAGAAGGAAAGAAAGAATCTGTCATATGTAAGTCACTTTAGATAAAAGCATGTATCCATCTATTGACCGACCCATACTTACCTACCTACTGATCTACACTACTGTTCAAAAGTTTGGGGTCACATTTATTTATTATTTTTATTAACACTTTTATTCAGCAAGGGCACATGAAATTGACCAAACTGATTTACATTGTTACAAATAAGTTTCTATTTCTAAAATAAATTCTTTCTAATCATCAGACAACCGTCACAAAAATATTAAGCAACACAAATGTTTTCAACATTGATCGTTTACATTTCATGTACATAACATTTCAATATCAATTCAAATAGAAAACTATAATTTTAAATGATAATAATAATATTTTGCAGTATTACTGTTTTAACTGTACCTTTCTTCCTTCTTTACCCAGCTATTAACAACGTATAGATTGCAGTAACTAAATGTTGGGAGTAACATTTAAATATTTCATTTCATTTTAGGGCCAATACTTGCAATAGTTGTTTACGCTGTGATACAGTGAGCCTGTGGTACATTGCTTCAGCTCCTTGTAGTTTATGTGTGCATAATGAGTGCATAATGTAGTTTCAAAAGAGGTTCAGTTCCTTTCAAACACTCACACTCATGCACATCCAAATCAAATCGCACAATATTTACACCAGTTTTTAACCAATTAACTCATGGTAAACAACAATGGTTTTAAATATAGTTTTACACCAATGTAGCTTAAAATGACCCCAACAAGACCCATTTCAGGAACATTCCTGCTAATGCAGAACC